CCTAGTTAACTCTCACCAGAGCATATTTTTTCTATTGATTTTTAGAGAGAGTGGAAGGGCGGGGGGGGGAGAGACATCGATGTGTGAGAGACACATTGATTGGTTGCCTCCTGCAGGTGCCAGGACACGGGCCTGAGACTGAGCCTGCAGCCCAGGTATGTGCCCTTGACCAGGAATGGAGCCCAGGACCCTCAGGTGCAGGGGCCACTGAGCCACGTGGGCCAGGGCTCGCTTCTTTCTCAGCAAAACTCCCTGTCCTAGGTTGCCTGTTCTCCAGGCCACATTCCATGCTACTTTAGAAAAATTAGCATATGTTAATATGTACAAATAATATAACTTATGACCTATGCACAAAGTGACAAAGTAGCGTTTAGGATTATAGTTACCCAAAGGAGAACTACTGATGCTGGAAAGTTTCAGTAAACGCGTAGGAGGGCAGTATCTTTGGACAGGCGGCTGTGCTTTCCTGCTCTCCAAACCCCCCAAGTGTTGGCTGGTGTATTGGGAGCAGCGTCCAGTGCTCCACCCAGGGCCGGCGGTTTGTCACAGACACGTAACCACCATGGGCTGTGCTGCTCCTTTCCCTTCCCAGGTCTTGGTCACAGTCCTTTCCAACGTGGTCTCTGGGCAAGTGAGAAAGAGCAGACGCCAGCAAGGGTGACAGCCTTCTTCGGTGAAGGCTTCCTCTCGGGGCCACCACTGGGAGGAGCAGCTGGCGACAGTGACAGAGAATCAGCTGCGATGGGTGCTCAGCGCGGGACAGCCTCAGGGGCCCGCTGTCCGCCTGGCGCGGGGCAGGCGCGGGTCCAGCCACAGGACCCTGTACCGTTTGGGTGGAAAGAGCCCTGTGCGGTGCTCTTGGTCTGCAGATCAGCAAAGAGAAAGGCGGCCAAGTTAACCTCCTAGAGGGAGCAAGAAAGACATTTCTCCCGAAAATAGACGAGATGGGTCTCTGATGGAAACTCTCCCCACCAACGTGCACACACACAGAAGCACACACACGCACACACAGAAGCACACACACGCACACACACAGACAAAACAAAGAAAGAGATCCAAGGGAAAAGCCTTCGCCCAGAGCCTGTGGCTCGCTTTCTTTATTGCTGAGCACACACGAGTGCGTGAAAAGGCACCGCAGCCTGACCGAGCGGTGATCTCCTCTAATGCACCTCCGTTTACAGCCGCAAACAGATGGGCGCTTTATGAGCGAGGCTGGTAAAAGTAAAAGCAAATGATTGTAATCGTTGTACTTTTAATAAGATTCCCCACCATCTCCAACATTATTCCCCGAGGAACAAATTGTTCTATAAAGTTTCCTTACTTAGGGAGAAGACAGTCCGCCCTGACTTCGCCGAGGTGACAGAGGACGCGAGGACGCAGGGCGCGCTCAAGTCAGATCAGGGTCTCAGGGGGAGAGCTCAGGGACACCATGATCCCCAAAGAAAATGCCCGGGGGAACAGGGTGGAAAAGCAGCCAGATCGAGGGTAGAAAAGGGGTATGAAGTATGTATGAGCTTCAATTGAACTTATTACCTTCTAATTCTCTACTTTGTAAAACAAGGTTTGGGGAATTCCTATGGATTTAAGATAAGCACAGAATATTGCTTCCTTCTCTGCCAGGGCAGACCAATAACTCCAGCCCAGCGAATCTTGCTTAACAAACAACCCAACACTAATTCATTACCATTATTCCTTTTTAAGGGAAACAAAACTCACAAGAATCCTATCATTAAGATGAATATACTGTAGTGATGGCCTTTACGTAAATTATAATTAAAGCTAATCTTAATTAAAGTTACTACACCATTTTGGAAGAAAATAAACAACCCAAAGAGAGGAAACAATGCGGTCAATAACTCACTCCAAAAATATTTTTTGCCTCCAAAGCTCTCATTGAGGGAGACATTCCTGCGTATGATACAAATGGTTCTGACATTAAGAAAAGTAAACAAGTAAGAAAAATAAAGATGGAAAAATTCTGTGGTCAGTTCACAAGTGCTTTTATATTGTTTGAGGCAGGGTTAAAGCATTTTATAGAGACAAGGATATATGTGCCGCTAGATTGGATATGACATTGGACTAGTCTAGCTGCCCTTGCACAGAACTCTGGCTGCCCATAATATGCCATGGACAAAACAAAGAACTAGGGTGGGACCTAATGCAACTAATATAAAGCATTATCCCTATGCTGTTTTATAGATCAAAACGAAAAAAGGTACTTGACTCTGGGTATTAATGGATTTGAGAAATAAAGGCAAACATTCAATATCCCCTCTTAATAGGCTTGAGGGTTTTAAATAGCTGATTACCGAAGGTTATATAATCTACAGGAGGGACTCCTGCCAGGCCCAATGCGAGTCATTCAGGGACTGCATTGACTCAGGAGGCCAGAGTCCATGTCAATGGGCTAGAACTGAGAAAAATAGGTTCTTCTTGGGTATTTCAGGGATTCTGACTCTCCAAACAGTTTCACAATAGCAACTCTCTAGTTATTTTGTACCTAACTTGGAGGGATTCTCTTTCAGGTTTTGCTGTCCTCAAACTAACCTACTACCGGGAGGTCCAGGGCAATGAACATCGGGTCTAAATAGAAGAAGCGCAAAATAAATGCTGTTGTGTCGAGAGCAACCAGTCTTTCAAATATCTTCCAGAGTGACTTTACATGTGCACCAATATATTAAATGACATTAAAGCCCACCCAGCCAGTCTGAAACATTAGTGCTGGAATATAGTCAAAGATACACAAAGGCTGACTCAGAAACTATGGATTTCATTTCTGAGAGGTCCTGAGAACAAGACAAAATTAAAAGGATTTATGCCTTCTATTAAAGATTGTTTGGTCTGGTAGATGCTTTCTTCAGTCTTCCCTTCCTTTTTATCTTCTGACCCTCCACTCTATCTTTTATCACCTTACTACCTTTAGATAGCACCCAAAGGCCCAGGCAGTGTGGCTCAGTTGGTTGGGTGTCGTCCCATGTACCAAAAGTTTGACGGCTTGATTCCTGGTCAGAGCCCATGTCTGGGCTGCTGGCTCGATCCCCAGTAGGGGGCATGCAGGAGTCAGCCGGTGGGTCAATGTTTCTCTCTCACATCAACGTCTCTTTCTCTTTCTCCCTCTCCCTTCCTCTCTCTCTAAAAATCAATAAAAACATTTTAAAATACATAAACAAATAGAATAAGTAGCACCCAGAGGAGCAAGCTAGCTTCAAACATAGTGGGCAGTGTGGTTAGAAATGAATGAGTGAATGAATAAATGAATGAATGAAAAAATATTCAAAGTCCCTGGTATACCCAGAGCCTAAGCTGAAAAAGATACCTGACACTGCCGGTACTCAGGGCAAGAAATGGATTTAGACATGAACAAAACAAGATAAAGTCCATGCTTTTGTAGTCAGGGATTTAGGGAAAGCTAGTTACTCCATTCAGACAACATGAAGCTGGCCTTAAATGAGTGGCCTGGCTGGCAACATATACCTTCTTCTCTCTGAAAAACTGTAAACCAAAACACATTGCCTGTGATAAAGATATTAAAGAATGGGGGGGGGGGCATGCAGAATATAAGACATTAAGATTTAAGAGGAATAAAAGAGAGTGGGCTTCCTCAAGACTGTGACTATTTCACTAAAAATAAACCTGCAGCACGATGTATCAGAGGGATCTCTACTCAATAGGCAAGCTGAAGACACAGTGTCTCTCACTTGATTACAGCCACTGAGCATGCTCAGGGGGCCCCAGGTGTGACCTCTGCTCCCTTGTGAGCAGCGCAGGGCCAGGCAATCTATCATGGTGTTCCTCCTGTCAGCCCTGGTGCTTCCCCGCTGCTGTCTGTCACCCTGGTGGATGAGACCTGCTTAAGGGCAATCATGTCAATCTCTATGTGACCACTCAGTCTAAGGCAGAAAGATGATGTTGACAGGACTGGCAAAGTCAGCAGAAGGTACCAAGGGCCGAAATCATAGTCTCTCCATGGAGATGCAGTGTGGGCCATTGTCTTTTTTCTTCATTTTTTTTTTTTTCTTTATTTCTGCTTTCCCTTTTTCTTAAATTCTCGTGACATGGGCTAAGGCCTAGAGAACTTGCCTTTAGAGCTGGTCGTCTCGGATAAACCTGTTGCCCTCCGAATTTTTCCCGTAGTAGACATAACGACACTTCCCCAGGACACCTGAAAATAGAAGGAAACACGTCATTACAAACCACAGTTCTAGCAAGAAACAAACAGGTGCTGCAGAGCAGAAACACACAACACAGTCACAGATCCAAGGGGTGGCAGCAGAAGGGTTAGGTCCCAGAGGGAAGGACCCTACCTTCTTGTCTTCAGAGTTGACATTCAAATAGAATGTCAGCAGAGCACAGGCCCCCGGGAGTAATATGGTTCCCACATGATGTCTCTTCCACATTTCAGAGACTTTTCTAGTTTGGCCAATTACTCCTCAAAATAAAGCATAACCCTCTCCTCTCTCCAGGTTCCCTTAGAATTTCTAAAAATGGAAAATTAAGAGTTTAAAGATGGATGCAGCCCAAGCAAAAGAGGCGGAACAATCTTCCCAGAATGTGACTATTTTCAAGTCCTCTGTCATGAATCAATATTGTTAACTTCCAAAGAGACCCTTCCATTCCCAGGAGGCATCAAGCACATAGCAGATGATTAAGGAGAGCGGTGGAGTTGACAAAATGCCACATGGAAAGTAATAAGAGCCTCTATATTCACAGGCTCCTTCTCACAGGCGTACCGAGCTATGTTCTTGGGTTGGAATGCATTTGATTTTCATTTTCAGTTTTATTTTAAATAACCATTTGGCTCCATATACGTCTTTCCTTTCATTCAAGGAAATTGGAAGAGGAGTTCACTATGGAAAATACCCTTAGAATAGGGTTAAACCTTTTATTCAACTAAATATTTATTCTACATACCCATAAGAAGTCACCTGCCACAGTTATTATAAAAGCTTTGTAGGATGATTAAGAAAAAATAAAGTTTTCCCAAGAAAAATATAACTGCAATTTGCTTTTTGCCACCTTGTTTTTTCTTCTAATTTTAGAAAAACTTAAAATTCAGCTTCACCGAGTTGTCTTATTACTAGTAGCACTTGTGTCTCTGATGTGCGCATAACCAGAAACGGAGACAGTAAATGTCCACAAAACATTATTTCACCAGCCACAAACCGACCTATAAAAATACCTACCTATAGGCATGATTTTCCTCTATCAGTTCGATGGTAGGAAACCAACAATCACCATAGTGTTCATTTGGGATAAATTAGCACTTGAAATTATCCAGGCTCTTCACGTCAGAAGTTCTAAGCAGTAGATATTCTTGTGATTGTACAAGAGATATTTCTCCACTGCAAAACTTTAAACCTTCTTCTAAAATAAGGATTAAAAATGACTCTTAGAAACTTCTAAGGACAGGACAGATGCCCCTGGGTTCGAATGGCTTGGACAAAGTTGGGAATTGCTGGTCACAGAATCTGAGAGTTGGCAATAGGGAGAGGATGATACTGTCCCATGGCCTCCAGACTGGCCTTGGGCATGCTCTCATGCTTCCATTTTCTGCCATGTTCCCATGAGCAAATTTGCTGTGGGCCACACTTCCCCCTTGGCCATATTTTCTCCCTGGCCCCCCCATCCCCAATTTCTGATTTTGAATTTTGGTCTGGTGCCTGGAAACACTAAGCTTGGATGAAACCTCCCTGAATCCTTTCTTTGGGCCTACACTATTCTTTTAGCTGTTGGCATTGAACTATTTTCTTTACCTGGCTGAATTGTGTTGCATGCACCTGGCATTGGATTGACATTGCCACCAATGCCCGGAACCTGTCTCCGGGCTTAGCTGGTTAGAGTCTGTTCCAGGAACAGCATCCCCCACAGGCCTGGGTGGGAGTGTCTCAGGCATTTCTGAAAATCCACAAGGGGCTTCCTTAAAAGTAATTGATTCAAATACACCCATGACGAATCGGAAGGAATGAGGCTGAGAGATGTTCATTTCTTTCTACAGCACCAGGGCAGCATGCATTTTTAGAGGAAGAAACGGATAGTGCTGTCAGATATCATAAAGAGCACAGTCTTTCTCTTGAGTAAAAGAGTGCAAGGCAGGCACACCCATACCCACTAGTGGGTGCATTCATTCTTTCCTGCAAACTTTCCAGTGCATTCAGATCGAATTCCTTTTCTCTACCCTCTCTCCATGGCAAACCTCAGCTCCAGGCCTCACCTAGATGTAACCTGGACCCCAGATGCCATCCTGGAAATGGGCTGTGTGCTCCTGGAACATGGCCCTAATGTGGAGGAAAGGGACATGTCCTGAGCCATGTTCCCCAGTCCTTCTCTCTGGTTGGCACTGATAAAAGTCCTTTTCAGGGGCTGCCTTCTTCCTTTCAGCCTGGAAGCAAGATGTTTATAGACATCCTGGCGAGAGAGGGCTGTCTGATGAATGCAGGAGACCGCAGTGAGGTGTCAGAGCTTGGAAAACGAGGCAAGGACATGAGGTATTAATATTGTCAATGATCTCTTGACGGGAAAACAGATACCACACTCACTGTCAGATTTAAATAGACGTCAAGTGCATTAATGACAAAAGGGCAGACTTCAAACAAAGGGGCTGTGTGGCGGGGAGCAGAGCTGGTCTCAGTGCGGGCAATACCCTCATCTGAAAAGACACTGTCAGGGCATGAGACAGGCCCGGGATTGTGTGTGGTGACAGAAAACAGAGATGCTGACAGAGATATCGGTGCCACATTATGCCAAGGATATTCTAACGCTGCCTGTGGCTCTAACAAAAGCTGACATCACTCCGCATCACTGGGGTCTTCTCCGGGCTCCTGCAGATTTCTCCCCAGATGCCATTACAGAGCTCTGTCGCTCTAAAGTTTCTGGCAGCCTGCTCTGTCTGAGCGCTGGGGTCAAGGGGCCTAAGGCTAACCTCAGTGAATCTGAATTTGGACTTTGCAGGAGGAGCCCGCTCACCGCCCCCTGATATCCTGGCTACTCCAGGTGATCAGAGTGCCGGCGTGCGAGGAGCTGTCGCCTTGAATAACATCCCTAAAGGGAAGGCGCTCAGTCTGCGGGCTGCCCCGGGACAGCACGGGGACCGTCTGGCAGCAGGAGATTAAACCCAGCTGCTGCTGCTCCTCGGGAAGGAAGGTGGTCGGGCCAGTGACAGTCAAACCCAGGCTGGTATTTGAAAACTTGAGCCGCCTACGATTACGAAAGTGCCATCACTCCGAGAGACTCCTACCCAACTGAGCTCACAGCGGGGAAGCGATTACCCCCCAAATGGAACTTTTGGGCTCAGTAAATAAATAAGTAAATACAATTGACAAAGAAGAAACTAAAACCACAGCCCTATATGCGGCCGTAGCACTTTATTTATCACCAAGGTTATTTGTAACATAAGAGGATCTGCTCATAAATTAAGGGGGGTGGTGGCTTGTGTCCCTCCCCTGCTCTCCCCATGGCCCTCCCCCTCCTGTCACGCCAAGTGCCTGAAACAGTGAGGATGACCGAGGGAACAGTCTGCTGGCAAAGGCATTTTGTCAGGGAGGCGCCGGGGCTGGACTTCGGGAACCCGCTGTCATAACTCAGTAGGCGGTAGTTTCCACGTATGTCTGCAGTGCATTCGCTTGTTTGTATCGCCTCGAAACCCAGCGTCTGGGGACCGGAGGGGCGACAACACTTAACGGCATAGCTAGTGTTTTTGATTCTTGGGGGAGAAATTAATTGGCCATAATAAGCGAAACAAACTTGCCATGCATCAGGCCGACCTGTAGCTGTCGGTACGTGATTTTTTTTCGGGGGCCCTAAAAAAAATGACAGTGTGTTGTCTCCTGGGAAATCCTCTCCTGCCAAATGAGACTCCTAATTTTTCTTAAGTAGCCAGCTCTGCCATCGCCATAACTTCTTAAAACTATAATTATGGGGAAAAAATGTTTTGGGAAGAATCTGTTTTAAAGAGGTCCTTTATCTTTTAAATGCTTTCCTCCCTCTGGGATGAATGTTCTAATTATGCAGGTTAAGTTATGACCTTGGAGCTGCCTGAGAGGGTGGGAATCAGAGTCTCTCGGATGCAAGGCTGTGAGGGTAGGAATGGTGCTGGAGACTTTGCTGGGGGAGACCCTGGAGTGTGCTGGAAGGAAGTCTTGGCCACCCATGCAGAGTCCAGCAAAGACCCAAGACTCCCTGATCTCCTGGAGGGTCCTGCATGCCCAGTTGCATCTCTACCGTCTGTTTAGTAAGGAGAGGTGGGGGTGATATGCAGGGAAAGCCATCTCTGCCCCTAACAGTTATGTGACCATGTATACCTCCCTCTTCCTCCCTGAGCTAGTTTCTTTTTGTGAAGTGGAGTGAAGGGCCAGATAATCTCTGAGGTTCATTTTAGTTTTGAAATAGATGAATTAATATTTTCCAGTGCTTCCCTTATGAAGATGAGATGTCAGGTCCAATACTGCCCGATGTAGGAGGCACATCCAGTGATTAATTCATCAAAGATTTAATTTGGACGAAGTCAGTTCTTGAAACCCATCCAGCGCAGAGTCTGTCCCATAGCATATAGAAGGGGAGCTCTGCTGGATCTCAAAACCCCAACAAAGGAGTTTCCACTAACTTTCCTGTGGCCTGTATTTCACACTGTGAGCTGAGAAGTACTTACCACTAGCTAGCCTGTGTCCTGCTGGCTTCGACTCGAATCTCATAACTCCATATGCAACAGAACTAAAGACTGAATATCAGAGTAAGTGGTTTACCACGTGCATTGTAGTTGTGAAAAATCTTACAAACATATATACACTAATTTGCTGGTGCAGCAGAGATTGGACCAACAAATCTGTATTTGTAAAATAATGTATCAATTTTATTATTATTACTAATGTTAGTTATGGTAGTCACCATTTTAAATGCTCTTATCACCAACATTTGTAAGTGTAGCTGTGTAACGACAGGCGGACTGTAATCTGTTGTGTGATCCTAGGCGCTTACAATTAGCAAGTGCTACGGAACAGGCAAGGAACAGGGCTGCTCATGGACCCCTGTTCTGCAGTCTGTGTGAGTAAGGGAAGGAACTAGACTCTTCACGGCCCCTGAAAACAGAGATGACCGTGCTGGGAAGAGGTGGGTGGGCCCAGTGACAGAGAGGAAAAAAGTATCCAGAGTCTTTCTGGTTCATTGTGG